CCTTGTGTCTACATGAAAAAGGTGAATGATGAGAAATTCAATCTCATCGTTCTAGTTTATTATTTAGTATTATAAGTTGATGACATATTCATCTTGGCAAAGAACCAATATGCCGATGATGAATACAAGAGTTAGCTGAAGTTTGCATTTAAGATGAAGTTTGCAAGTATGTTTGTTGTAGACCCGATAGGTCAATTATGAAGGAGTATGGATTCCTTTGGTAGCAAATTTCAAACTCTCCATAGCTCAATCTCCTATTGATGTTGTGGAAAAAGTAAAAATGTTTTTTTGTTTTTTATGAAAAAGCTATTGGTAGCCTCATGTGTTTAATGATGTGCACTAGGCTTCATATTGTTCTTGCAATGGGCAAGATGAGCATACACATGTCAAATCTATGCTAAGTTTACTAGGATGCAATGAAATGAATTATGAATTATCTAAAAAATATGATGGATTATAGCTTACTGTTTGATGGTTTATTAGAAAATATCAAATCCTTGTTTGGCTACGTTAATTCTAACTACGGAAACGATCGAGACAAAAAAAATCTACAACTTGATATGTGTTTACACTTGGCGGTGAGAGCATTACTTGGAGATCTACCTTGCAAAAATGTGTTGCTCATCGAATAACAAAAGCTGAGTATGTGACAACAGCAAAAGAAACAAAGAAAGCTATTTGATTGGATATGCTTATCATGGAGATGAAATTAACATAGGATGTTGTCAATCTTCATTGTGATAGCCAAAAAATTTTACATTTTCCTTTGGTAGAGCACTACGTGACTTAGATAAATATGTAAATAAAACTTATAGCTCCATAATCTCCATAAAAAATATTTCCTAAAGGATTTTATAAAGACTTCGGCACTAGGCTCCAAAGTTTTTATGACAAAAATACCTCGATACTTGAATCCTTTTTTTCATCTACTGCAGGATAGGTGTAGCCTAATTGACTTCCGAGCCTGGGTCATAGATAGCAAAGTGAAGCACATCAACTTCAAGTATCACTTTATAAGACAAGCACTGTGTAATAAAACAATTGAGTGATCAAGATAGACGATAAACTCAACCTAGCTGATGAGTTGACAAAAATCAATAGACATTGTGCTACTATATAAGTTGTGTATGGGAAGCATATGTAGAATTTGCTAGCATAGTATCTTCAGTTATTTCTTTGTATATTTACTTTATTCTATGATGAATACGGCTTAGTTTAGTTAACTCTCGTGTAAGAGTAATCTTGTATTAGGTTCTATACAAAATTTCCTATGAAGTAATTATATAGGTAACGAGGTTTTTGTTTCCTCTATTCTAGTAAATCTTTAGTTAACTCTTCATGTTATTACTCTATACTACAATGATTATAGCTTATATCTAGTAAATACTCTTGTAAAGAAAGGCCTTGTGTTAGATTTTTGTTTAGTACTTACCACGTAATAATGATATAGGTTACAAAGGTTATTATTTTCTTAACACAAGTTAAGTGAGAGATGGTTGAGGTTAATTCCAATTAAGGAGTATTCTCAAGTCTAGCTATTCATAGTTAGGTTGATCTCCGGTGTTTGATATATATTTCCAAAGTTTTTGCATTGTATCATTGTTACTTTTCAGTATTGTAAAAAGTTCTCTCACGTGCTTTTCCGTTGACGGAGCCTTCCGAAGTATGAACCATGTTGCAACTACATGTACTCATGTTTGGCTATTACTGTCTTGCATATTTTGGATTGTCAATTTTTTGAAAGATTTATTAATGTATGAAATTCAATCAAATTAATTTAATATTATAAGATGAAATTAATTTAAATTAATTTTTATTATGAATATAAATTTTAAAATTATGGAAATTTTTAAACTTACAATAGATTATTATAAAATCTTTTGTCCATTTAATCTTTTAACACAAATACAATAACATTTTTTAATATGTAACTAGAGTTTTGAAGTTAGCTGGAGGCACACATCGGAAATATATGAAAATTTGTTGATTTCATCAATCGATAAACCTCAAGTTTTACTTAAAAAAAATTTCTAAAAAATATGTTTAAGAAATTAGATGAATTCTCTTATATAGTGAAAGAATAAGCAACTTAATTAACTAAAGCCAAGTACATCAAAGTCAAGTGAAGATTTGAATTGACTACTATCAGACACTAAATAATCTTTATCACATGTTGGTAAAACTTTTGTTTGATGATTAATATGTAAATAGATCAATAAATTGATTAACTTGCAGAAGAAATTTGAATTATGTGAATAACAATTAAATTTTGAACATGTAAGTTTTTCATGTTATAACTTTGAATAGAGTTTATATTATGAATACTATTGTTAGAAAAAAAATTAAAAATTATTTTTTATCTATTTTTTATTTCAATATAATTTATTATTGATCAATTTTTACCAATATACAAAAACATTTACAATGAAATTATTTTGAGTCATTATTATTTATTAAAAATCATCAATAGAATCTGTGATATACAATTAAAATAAAAGCATTACTATCAAAATATTTTATGGGATTTTAGTTTAAATTATTATTAACATTACTCATTTTTAAGAGAATACATTTGAAATAAAAATTTAATCAATTATAAAATACTATAATTTTAACAACTAATTACCTTGATAAAAATTGATTTAAATAATTTTATATGATTCTTTATAGATGTAATGAAGTAAAAAAATAGATATATATACTATATATTTTAATTTAATTAGGTTAATAGATTTATCATGATTTTATTAACGTATTTACATTCATATGTATGATATTTTGATATTTTTAAATACAAATTGTATTTTATAATCTTATATACACTTTTATTATTATGTTGTAAACACATTAATCAAAACTATGAAAATGAAAAATCAACGACTCTTTTATATAAATGTTTTAAAAAATAAAATTTTCATATCAAGAAAATTAAATACGTTTGAATAAACTGTTAACCCCATGAAATAAAATCCGAAGAATTTTTCATAATTATCTCTGTTGTAGAATACATTTTTCTACAATAAATAGAAAATTTTTAAATCCTTTCATAATTCTTTATTCCTTCTATACTTACAAAATAAGACAGGGATGGTAATAAGTGTGAACATATTTTGAAAATTGAGATTTTGATTTTCATTAGATCTAGATAATCATGAGATTCTTCATGTCCGCCGAGCTATTTTTTTGTTCTCTGTTTGGTTATCACCCAAAGATATGAATTATGAAGAGTGTTTTCTCAATCATTTCTTCATCATTGCTGGATTCGCCACAAGTTATTGGCCTCGAGAAACGTAATTAAAATTTGGACTCGCAAGTGTCTCCACTCGTACTATGCATGGAATATAAATAAGTCGTTGTAACGGTCACAACATTGTTTCAAGTTTGATAATCCTTAAGTAATGCATTCGTAGCAATCAAAGACTGAAGGCTTGGCCTCGTCGCTTGAAAAATACATCACTTGATTGCAACCTGGGTTTACAATCTGGCCAAAACGAGAGAAATTCCTCCTTCAAAACTAGTGGATTAATACAAAGCTTGTGAAGATTTATCAGCAGGAACAAATGGGAAGAACTATGCCTTTGTGAAGATATGCAGAAGAGACTCATTCATGGTTCCAGTGGGGCAGTCGAGACAATTGCGATCCTCTCCGTTCGATTCTGATTACTACATACGTACAGCGTACTCTGTCAAAAGCGTCTTCAAACTAGCCACCGACAAAATTGATTTGGAATTGCTAGGCTCCAACTTCGGCGACACGATATTTGCATACTACACGCCGATATGGTGCTCGTCACTGCAAGCGAGGTCTGAGGTCGTTGCTCAATTTGTCCAGCTCTGACAATGACAATACGTTTGTCTCAGTCTTTGGTGCAAAGAAGCTTCTGATTTAGTTGAGTTGTGCCGCGATAGATCTCATGTATCTGATGCTGCACACTTCAAAACACAATTAAACATGTGGTAATGATTGCACTTTCGCTCGTGAGCCAATGGCACTGGGCCGGGCTGCCGAACATAAAGGCTGCAAAACTTGCACATGAAATTCGATGTGCATGAATTCGTAGGGTGAGCTCGTAGCCATGGCCGGATGAGTGGACGACGCCAGCACCTACCACGGTAGACTCGGAGGACAAATGTGGCACTGTGCTGGAGGCCCAGACAGAGCGCCAGGCTCCGCACGTCCGCCGGGAGCACCTTTTCGGAGCGATGCGTAGTGGGTAGAAGAACTTGTCGTCCATGAAAATAGTAGGTTTTGGATGATGGGCCTTCTTCTTTGGTCCAGCGCCGCCAGAGCCCGGCATCTGCTCGCAGCACTCACGCCTCAGACAAAATCCATCGATGGCAGTGCGGCCCTTTCGTTGTCGGGAGCGACTCCGGCCTCTCGCTTTGTCGTCTGTCTGGGCGCCTCCGAGTCAGTCGAGGGCTTAGGGGCGCGTCATGGCGTCGTCATCCGCGCTCAGTCCGTCCATGAATTCTCTCGGATGGCGCCCTGATGCCAAGCGTTGCATCCACGGCCTGCGAGTGCGGTGCACTTCGTTCAATGTCATGGCGACTCCTCTTCGTTTTGTGGATCCGTGTTTCCAGTTGCATGTCCTCGTCGCGATGACCCGTGCTGGCGCAGCTGCTGCGATTGACATCGTGCTAGCATCGACGGCCTTCTCGCGCTGTTATCGCTGCCCTGGATTCCAATCGTTCGAGGCGAAGATTCGACAGGAGGACTCCGACAATACGAAGCCTCGGAAGATCAGCGCCGTGACGAGAAACTACTCGTTTGTAGCGAGCGAGCACGGTGATTTCTCGGGCTTTTCCGAGCAGTCAACGTCGTGATTTCTGCCGACCCGGATGTTCGTCGTTTATAAGCGGGCCCTTTTCAACAACCTTCTATCAGGAATAAATGCCCCGGTCTTCATCCTCACCTGATCCCCGTCACCACCCCCACTACAATGATCCAAGTTGCAAGGTTCAGACACTTTCGGCAAGTGGGTCAGGTGAGAAGCTCGATACAATTGCCTTCACGGATATGAGCCCAGCCTCGTCATTAACTCGCCTCCATGCAGATGGCCACTCATAAGAATTCACGATTCTCGAAATCTCGACGACATTGTGAGCCTTAGACCTCCAGTCATGCAATTCTGTGAATTCCAAATCCGGTCAACGGATTCTCAAAAGGGTACAACCCGTACATCGTTTGGAAGGACGAACAATGGCATCGTCATTGGAATCAGGACCACTTGCACAAAGTAGTGGGAGACATAAGCATAGCTATACGTAGATTTCTGGGAACCGAAAATTACACTTTCTACGGCAATCTTGAGTCCAGAAATCCTCGAAGTGTACCTACAGCACACCCTCATGCTGATTATATCCTTCGGCTGAAGTAGTTTGCTACCTATAACTCGAAGATTCTGATATAAGCGCCCGAGCTTAGATGGAAACAATTTTGAACCGAACTCGGGCGAGGCTTTTGATGCAGCTCTTTACGACATGGTGCATCCGCATAGTTGCTAGACCTCAAGTCAAGGACAAATGCAGAAGAACGGCGATGCCGGGCTGAACCTGAGGCTCGAACATGACGGAAGATGATTTCTTTTGCTCGTTGCTTTTGTACAATACATCGTCTAAAAAATTCTCGCTCGTGCTGCTTCGTATCCGAAGGACGAAAGAGGTTTTACAGCTGGAATGCATGTGACGGGTAGATTGATGCATCAACCTTCTAATCCCTTCAGCGATCTCCTGGCCACGCCAGCCCATGCTCTGGCCTTAGCTTCCGTGTCCGAATTAAGCCAGGCCTTTTCCGCGCGGCGTTGATTTTGTCTAGAATTTTTTGCTCGTTTTGGAGCAAGTCGCTCATCTCTGGAGATAAAGGCAAGTTTAAATCGCTCTGCTATCGAAAGAACCGAAGAATCTCGACTTGCCACATTTTGAAAGACAACTCTCCTCGATGTCCTGACAGCCCATGTCTCTGGGTCAAGATCTTCAACTAGACCAGCATCCAACACGGTCGCAGGCCACGCCTCCCAAGGTACAGACAGATGTTGAAACCCTCTGGAAAAAGGCTTGGGATTGACCACCACACGAGGGCACTCTGTCTCGAGTCGTTCTCTGGATTTTTCGTCTATAGAGGGCTGCAAGCGAGGTCACAGAATTCAGATGAAATCTAATAAACAGCATGAACGGCATGAGCCTAAGGTCTAACAAAGTATAACCAGCTCAAAAACTAAGGTGACGGCATCTACGACCGGAGAGATTGTTGCAACAAGCTCGTCATGGACCAATCTTCAATGCAGCAACAATATCCACAAAAGCACACTCGAAGCACTTTTGGTGCATTCTAGGTCCAGCCTAAGAAACTGACAGGCACTCTTCCCAGGTTTCCACGTTATCTCACCCAGACGAGCCACCTCAAGGCTTGACCACCTTTTCCGACCCGGTCTATATCAAGTTCCTCCCAGCTATCTTCAGCTTCTTCGCTCAGATTTAATTTCGGTAGAATATAGGTTAATGCCAGTCTCGCAGTCGAATTACTCAAGCTTGTTCCTCTGTGTACACAGACAAGACAATCACCATGTCGTGGGTAAAGAGCCTCGGAGCTAATTCTGTTCGTGTTCCCGAAGTTTAAAGTTGATAAGAAGCAGTACGCGCTACCAACTCTTCAGAAGGGAGCAAAAAGGACCAATGAGCCGGGATAAACTCGAACAGGGAGTGGGTGAATGGAATCAATACAACGCAGAAAGGTTGAAAGAGTAAAAACGTACCCCCAACGAATTGTGTGAAGAGATGGGCTGTGCTGGACTAAGACGCGCACAGCTCGTGGTGTTAACCGGCTACATCGACTGTCACGGAAGTGTGTGTCAGAAAAAGAGACTTGTCCTGAAATACACAATTGTTATCTAGGGACTCACAGTTTTCCAGCCATTATCGGTGCCACTTCTGTCATTTTCGTACTTCAGTTTTCGTATACAACGATTCAAATGTTGACCAACACGGAAGAAGAAGGTGCATGCTGGTAGAGGTATGAACACCTGATGTCAACAGCTTGTAAACGGGGACAAACTTTGGCCAATGTCTCAATACTAGCATCCGTGATATCAGAGCCTGATACATCTAAAAACTCCCAGGACTCGTCCGCCAACGCAACCAACAGTTCGTCACACAATAAATCCCGTCTACGGGCAACTGCCAGCAGAGAAGCCTGCCAGGTGATACATGAGTCACGTCAGACGAGCATATAGGGTTAGTAAAGCATTACAGGAGTCAGAGTCAGAGTCAGAGGAGCGAAGTCCTGATGTGATCGTGTCGACAAACGGCAACACGGTAGAGGTTGTTGGTAAATGATCATCGCAGGCGATCAATTAGACTACGAATTCAAAATAGACTTCTCGCAAACACTTGTATCGGTAACTTGCATGACCAAAATCCTTCTAATTGAGGGGGGACAATGGGTGTCTCCAAACTTACAAACCTGTATCAACGAAAACTGCATTCTCGAATTTCATTCTAGCCGCAAGAGCCAAAAGTCTCTCAAGCCTCAATTACACCGCTCAACGCTTGTGCTCTCGACAGCAGCACGTGGCTACAATGACCAGAGTTCAAGACACTAACTCAAAACTCAGCAGAACGACTCTCATTCAGCCCCTAAATGACTGATGCCCATCCAGGGAGAGGTGATAGATTGAGCACCTTGACAGAAGGCGGAAATGTGGGAGCAACAAGATGAATTTCTTCGATGATGTCTTCAAGATGGCGACCCAAATTTCCAACACATAAACTCACCAAACTTCTGCACTTCCAAGACGGTTTTCTCCTCTCTCCTGTACGACAATAAGAACCTCAGCTCCAGAGAAGCTCAATATCCTCAACTGCACTGCTATTACTAAGATTTGTCACAGGTGAGGCAATTAGGGTCCAATTAGCTGCTGTTGCAATTACAAAAGTTGATGTTCTCGATACTTTGAGCTGTCTGATTTTTACTACCACCTGAGACATGATCCACGAATCTTTTGTGAAAATTGCAGCGGGATATAAATATGGTCTACCCAAATTCCTCCGCTCGATTATTCACAATTTGCTGAGAAGAGTGCATGCCTGCCAAATTCGGTCGAAGAGTGTGAACTGGTCGAGAACAGGAAGTATCCTCCTTCGCAGCCGAAGTATTGGCATCGCCGGCCCGGACATCTACAGCATCCCAGCCCTTATTCTCCATTATAGAAAAAAACTAGGCGATACTCCGACCTACAAAAATCGGACAAAAGCTCCTGCACTCCACAATATCCTCCGAAACTTGGTCTGTTCTGTCACCAGGGTAGCGAAATCTCAACCTCAGGAAAGCTATGGCAAAATTCTGTTACTCCATCGGGAGCCACCATCCATTCTCCGGCGCATATCTCACGGAATCCGAGCTTCGCAATCGTCAAATTCGCGCAATCCATCATAATCCAGCCCACGCACGAACCTCTACAAAATCCCCCGTCCGACGACGAGTTCCTCTTCCTCCTCCACCGACGACATAAAAATTCTCCACGATCTTCCTGCCGTAGTGCTACAAGCCCACTCCACGCCAGAGCCAGCCTCTACCAGACGGTCGTCATCGCCAATTCGCGCTCAGGTATGCGCCGATCCATCGCCAGCTCCACGCCTCGAGCACTCTGCTCTGCATCTGAACCCTCGCCTCGACCACTGACTGCGCAACACCTCCGTCGCTGAGTGCCGGACGGACGGACGGAAGTGAAAACCGTCGGAGAGAATATGCGAGGGACGGAGGTACTGTTCTTGGAGTCGATCGATAGTTCTGTGACGACAGCGACAGAGTCGTGGTCGCCGTCGATGGAGCGCGAAGCTGCTGCCGTTGCGCGAGGCCTCTATATGCAGAGGCGCGGCCGAGAGCGAGCGCGTGGCTTCGACGGAGCGATCGAGTTCCTACGAGTCGAGGAAGATGTGCAAGGTTCGTCGCTCGCCGTGATGTTGTCGATCGATCCCGTGAGTTCCTGGTCGAGGTTCATCGATTTGACTGATTTGACAAAACGCGCAGAGGTTTTTTGCTCGTCGAAGTGTTTGATTTCGCACATTTTCTCGGAGCTTCGTCTCGTGTCTTTGATGAAACGGGATTCGAGGCGAGCCGTGGCTTCCTTTAGTTTTCTCGATTGATTGGCTGCCCTTGGAACCTGTCGAGGAAAATCTGCAAGGTTTTTGCTCGTAGAAGTTATAGATCTCATGAATTTCCTGGCGCCCGCAGTCTTCTTTCTCCGAAGGAACGGGGAGGGATCCAGGGCGTGGCCTCCAGTAGAGTAATTGACTAGTTTTGAACAAGTCAAGGAAGAAGTGCAAGGATTTGCTGCTCTCAGAAGTGGTAGATCTCGTGAAATATTTGAATGCACGGAGTGCGAGATCGAGAATTATCTTATCAGGGGTGAAAGTGAGAGTGAGAGTGAGAGTGACTGATTGCTGCCTTTTTTTTCTTGACCAGGAAAAGGAGACGGATTTCTTTCTCTGACAGGATAGGAATTACGCGATCCAACGGACGGACGAGCGAACTTCATTGGGTGTTTCGAACAAGAGGATAGCTGAGGAGGAAAATACCTGCAGTTGCCTTGGACGACTATGTAGGTTGGGGTTGCAGAGAAGGCATTATTTCATCTCGTTGGGCGTTATTGAACAGGTGTAGTAGATTATGTACATATTGAAGCGCTGCATGGGAATTAGTTGTGCGTCAGGAGAGCCATTGAACTAGGCCGGGTGACCAGGGATCTTTTTTGGTGCTGAAGGGTTGGAGACGGAAGTGTTTCCACTGAGTCAACCGAGGAGTCATAGTAGGTATAAGTTTTAGCCATGGCAGTTGCGAATGGCTGGCCTGATGAAAAGTCAACCGATCAGTGGGATAATTTGCGGAAGCAGGTTTGTATATCTTCTGCTCATGAAGCCATTCCCCCTTGTTGGACCTAGTCGGGCTATGTCCCCTAAGAAAATCGTAGAAGCTTTTGGAGATAAACTGTGGAACTGGTGTGGTGGTGTATTCGGGTGTTGTGATGGGCATTTTGTTTAGTGACGGGAACATATGATGTTGCCTTTTTGTGCATAAACGATTAGCGATCTTTTATGACCTAGATGTGTGATTCATTCAAGAAAGTAAAATCTCGTTCTTCCTCCGATTTGTATACTTTACAATATACAGAGTGGGAATTACGGAATATTGCTGGAATGAGTCATCCGTCCGCCATCTTTCAAATGTCAAGGTCATACAAATCTAGGACATTTTCCCGTCATTACACTCGCAGAGCGTGCATCAGTTGATTTCCCATTAAACCTCAGATCAGTGTGTGAGAGCCATCTTACAGTGACCATTTTTCGTAAGACTACCGATGCTTAGTTGCACCTTTGGAACAGGTATTTTATGTATCATTGTCTTGGCTTTAATTTTGGTATGTAGGCAAGACCACTGGATTGGATAGGATAGTCTACCACCTTTTTGACCATATAGAAGTTGTTACAGCATCGTTATTATGAACCAGTGCGCCTCGTAACTTTTTGACGAGCCTTTATTGCTTTTCTTGTTTCTTCTATTAGGATATGTTTCACTAATAAGATGGTCCCTTCATCGTAGAAGCCAGCACGCACCTCCTGTACCTAAATATAGGGCTTCTATCCAGTGAACTTCTTTCCCTCTTTCTAATTTCTTGCTTACACATGTCTCAGTTCTGCGTTTTTATGATTAAGTAGAAGCCTAGAACAGTGAAAATCGACCAGTCTCGCTAATAGCCGCTTTCTTCGGTTTTTTGGAATACTTTCAATATATGTAAAGTTGAAACAAAACTGACAGTGCTATATGGTACATGTCATTTATGTTCCACACCTGAGTCATGGCATCTAGGAAGAGAATGTGGCGCTGTCCCTGTTTACGATTACGTACTGTATTTTTGCGCAGGCGAGGAAACTGGAGAGTGAGCTGGATGACAAGTTAGTGGCTTATCGCAAAATTGCAAGTGGACCTGAGGATTCAAAAGATGGAACCGAGGCATGCATCAAGGACCTTTTGAAGAGCTTGCAACACGTTAACACCCAGATGCAAGCATGGGTGTCAAATGGTGGCTCACATGTTCTTTCTCATACTCTGGCCCGCCACAAGGACATTCTTCACGAGCTGACTCAAGTAAGACCAAGTAATTACTCTTGGAACTCTGGATTACAATCAACTGGTTTCCAGTGTTGTTAGTAGTGCCGGAGTCTTATGTGGTTGATCATATTGTGATTATTACATCTCGTTCGCAGCATTCCTCTATTTCAAGCTTCTTCGTCTGACATTCCTCTGCATTTCCTACATGTCCTAGACGGGTTTTATCTAAATTGAACGTCGGATATCTGTTTAGGAGTCGATAATTTCACTCTTCTGAGAATTCCCGTAATGTAGGAATTTCTCCCTACAACAACTCGATCTGTTGATCGAACCGGAGTGTAGGTAAACCCGGCTTTTCAGTTATAAAAGAGTATCATTCCGCTCTGTAGAGTACATCATGAGTATCAGGTGAAATTAAAATGACCTGTTACTTAATAGGTAGACCTGTAAAACCATTAAGCGAACAAGTTTTTATTAGTTTTGTGATTATTTATATGCCATTTTCTGTCCGTCCAGGAATTTGCTCGAATCAATACTAGAGCGAAAGCTAATCTGGAGCATGCAAAGTTATTAGAAACCTTTGGCCGATCAAATAAGAAAAAGGACCCAGAGAACGGGCAAAATGGTGACTCTTCAGAGCAGGCCTTACTTCGAGAGAGTGCGAACATCAGCAGGACTTCCGGACAGGTATGGATATGCTTTCTGTCAAATACCAATCTGATTCGTCATGGCTTTTTTGTTCTTGATTTCGGACGAATTCTTTCTTTTACTGAAATCTTGTGGACTGCACAGCTAGATTCTGTGATTGGGCAGGTTCGGGCAACTTTGAGTGACCTTAATATACAGCGCTCGGTATTTGGGGATGCGAATAGCAAACTGGGCCTCATTCAGTCAAGTTTACCTACGGTATGTGTCGTGTGTGTTTTTTGACAATTTACTCAGCTTTCAGTTTCTCGCGTATCATTCGTTATAACGTGATGTGATTCTGTGTATGTTTCGGTTTACAGGTGAATAGCATCTTGGCTTCCATCAGGCGCAAGAAGTCATTGGACAACATCATTTTAGCGATTGTTACGTTCGTATGTACTATATTTATTCTCATGTACTGGATATCGAAATAGTCCTTCATGAGCTTATGGTTTGGGAATCTCAATACAGGTCTCCGATAGTAGAATGAAAAAAAAAACTGTATATAAGACATACTACTTTATACCCTGATTCTTTCAACTGAGCAGCAGCCTGTGCTCATGTTTCAAATTTTAATAGAAGGCCAACAGTGTGGACGCTTCAGTCCCTGTAAAGGTTTGTTGAGTGTTAAAGAGGTGCAGACTTCCCAAGAATGCGTCGTTACGATGCGATCTGATGTGAAGCTCTTTGTTCTACTTCTTTTTGGGCATTTGCATAAATTTTGTCATAGCAGGCAAACTTCACAGAAATATACCCCACCCAACCAACCAAGTCAAAGCATATCAATGGGATTGACCTAAGTTTGCGCGTATTCTGGAAATAGATATCGTGAGATATCCCCTCAGATCCCTGACCAGTCAGTCGCCGTCGTTGGCTTTTCGAACCGCGAATCTGTCAGAAGCGCAGTAGTGTCTCGTTAGTTGTAAGCTCTAGCCATCCACATCTTTGATCCGCCACGCCAGTTGATTCTACTGATTGTAAAAATCCCTCATAAAATATTACCCGGTGCACATTTCACTCTGCAAAGTCGTTCAGATTTCATGGCGGTGCCTGTTTGTGGAAACAGGCCAAGCGAAGGAACCCGACGATCCACGCACACGTAGCGACGAGTACTGGTCCAAAGTCGCCGAGGAGCCCGGAATGTCACTGGAAAAACTCTCTTTGTTCATGACGTGAGAAAGATGATACTGGTGCGTGCTTGCGAGAGCTGGCAACGGAGAACAACAGCACCTTATTCCTGCAGAGAGATGGGAGAAGAGCAGGGAGTGTAGTATCGGGGCACGAGTCTCACGCACGCAGGCATCATGACAGCAGCCCGGAAACCATGAAGAGATTCTCCTCGTCGTGTGAGAGATAGCTGCAAAGTCGTCGGTAATCCAATTGACGCAGCAATTCTCACAAAGAGGTGTGAACCGAGCTGCGACAGTCAAGCTTTTCGGGTAGTTCGAGTCGCTCGCCGATGCCCTTGAAGACGAAGGTGCAGGGGACAGCTATGGGAATGATGGTGATTCTACATCCCCACGTCAAGAGCAATAATGTAACCACAAGGGGCAGAAAACGGTTGACAGCTGCAGGTCGGACATCTCAGAAACTGCTCGCTCACGAGAGAGAGGTTAAAAAGAAGCAAATGTCAGCTGTGGCCTGTACTCTCTGCACACATGACGATACTGCGCAAGAGGAGCATCTGAGACACTGAGGCATGTCTCCCTCCAAGAAGAAGGTGGTTAAGACACAACGGCTCTCGACGTACGCTGTGGACCTGAACACCAGAATCCTCGAGGCGGGAGCTCATCTGGACGTCGTCTTCGAGACGAAGCAAGGAGTGATCGGAGCGCACAGGTGCATTCTGGCCAGTGCGTCTGGGGCTTTGAAGAGTTTGGTGGAGGACAAAACCTCGCCCATGCCCATGGACATGAGCTTACCAGCTCTCAGAGCGTTTCTGAAGCTCGTCTACACGAAGCAGTACGAGAAAGTGTGCATTCAGGAAAATGGCTTAGAAGTTCTGGCCGCCTGCGTGAAGTACGATCTGCCATCTCTGGTGCGAGTGTGCGTTCCCATTCTGTGTAAGTCCATCAACGTCGACAACTGTTTGGCGTATGCCGAGGCTGCAGCCATGTACGACGATGATCTCTACAGGATTTCGAGTCGTTTCGTGTGCAAGCACTTCGACGAGGTTGTGATGACCGATGCGTATCAAGACCTGACCTGCCGAAAGCCAAATCTAGCTGTCGCGTTGGTCAGAGGAACTGTAAAACACAAGTGGTCGAGGTTTTGCTGCGCGAGATTTTAGAACCGCCCTCTTCCATCTTTTGTTGCTTGGTCTAAGACTTGGACTCGGGCTCATAGAGGCATCAATCTCTGGTCGTCACAACTCCGCTCTTCTTTATTCCAGTGTCATATGAGCTGGTGTCGTCCTATTTCAAAGTGTCCAGTGAGTAGGCTTAATCATCCAGAAGATATTGAAACGAGAGACTCTCTTCAGATCATCGTCAGATACAATCTGCAGGTTGAGACTTTGCTCCACAATTCTCATCTGCTTCCTTCGACTGGCATTGTACATATCATGTGATGAGCATATGCAGATCCAAGCGGACGAATATCCACATGTGCTCACCTGCAACAAACGAATGATGCATTGAGATTCCACAGAGCTCGTCCAAAGACTACTGGTGATTTACACAATGGTTCTCCGAAAGTGCTAGACGCCATGAATGATCCGCAGCAGCTTGGACAGCAGGCGTTGCCTCCGCTGGGCGTCAGTCATTGCTCGAATATTTGATTCATATAATTCTGGACTTCCTGGAGTTTGTGCGTTGGAAATTTCTCGTTGTTCTTCAGAAAAGTGATAATGCTCGCTACACTCGAACTCTGTCGTTTCATTGTGCACAGTTCTGTGTTTGAAGCTGTGATTCAGGTGTGTTTGTCAAGTGGTTTGATACCTGAAACGATGTGTTGGATCAATGATGGCTCTTGCGGGCTCCATATTTCAGTCACGTGTGACTGTGAGAACTTAAACTTCGGCCTCCCACATTACTTCAGGAAACCTCGGAGGAATGTAATGGTTGTAACAGTAGTGGTTCTTTATGGGATTAGTTACATGTAGGAAATCAGGTATTATCTTGCCTCTCCATCATTCAAAGAAATGATAACATTCCTTTTTTACTAAAATTGGTTGGTGACTAGTATTGCCCAATATATAGTAGTTAGTTATATATCATATTAACAATAGAAAAAAATCATCTACTGATATTAGATGCTATTTTTTCTAATATCTAACATGGTATATTAAAAATGTTTTTGTGACATATATTTGACTACCATCAGAGGAATTTTTATTATGGGTCATGATAGTCACCAACCCATTCAAGTAAAATGAAATGTGCTCATTTTTTTGAATGAGAAGGATCGTACGTGATATCCTACATGTTAGTGTGAGACATCCAATTTATTTTCTATACATTAGCTTGTTTTTGGAAGGGAGAGTTTACTAGTTCAACCGGATCAATGCATCTTGAAAGACGAGATAGTTTATATCATTGATCAATGTGTTAGTTTTAATAAACTTTTCAAACTGGTCATAACTTCTTCTTCAAATATACGCTCCAATTCTGTCAATGTTAGTTGTTGGGTTTCATCACTGAAGAGCTGAACACATATCAATGGATCAATGCATCTTGAAAGAGGAGATAGGTTATATCATTGATCAGATTTAATATACTTTTCAAACTGGTCACAACTTCTTCTTTAAATATACGCTTCAATTCTGTCAATGTTAGTTGTTGGGTTTCCATCACTGAAGAGCTGAACACATATCAATGGCATCTAAAGCTCGGCCATATGAGTCTTCCAAGGATTCAACAATTGAAACATCATATGGTGCAAGGGTTAGATAATTGTTTTTTTTGAGCTCTCCCTTTTTGCACTTCATGTGCTATAGGGAAGTCTACCAGAGCTAAATTCCCAAGGCAAGGAGCCACTCGTGCTATATACCTTCTTGATCTAGTGCACACAGATATATGTGGTCTTCTGGAAACCCAAACATTCTCTGGATGTAAATATTTCATAAAATTTATTGATGAACTTTCACGGATACGCATGTGTATTTGGTACAAAAGAAGTCTGAAGCCTTTGCCAAGTTTCAGAAATTTAAATTGATGATTGAAAATTACCTGAACAAGCGCATCAAAGTTTTGCGATCAGATAATGCTCTTGAATACAAATCTCTTACTGGATTTTGTATGCTTCATGGTATTCAACGTCAGTTTTCTATTCCTGATACTCCCGAACAAATTCCCTGAACAGAACGGAGTAGCTGAACGGAAGAATCGCACTTTGATCGATTCAGTTGTAGCTATGTTGACACATTCTGGTCTTTCTCATGGTTATTGGGGCAAAGCCATCCATACCGCTGTTTACTTGCAGGACAGATCTCCATCTAAGGCTCTACCCAATGACAATACCCCTTACGAACTTTGGCATGGACAGAAGCCTGATCTAAGCCACTTACAAGTTTTTGTATCTACTGCCTTTGCCCATATTGAAAAAATGTCATCGGGTAAGATTGACCCCAAGAGTGTAGAATGTGTTTTCCTTGGTTATTATCCTACAGCCAAAAGATATAGGTTACAGCGAAAAGACTCTCGTAAGATTCTTGAGAGCAGATCTGTCAGATTTATGCCTCTTGCGGTTCGGGAATCTACCCTTCCCCATCAGCAGGCATCAGTTGTTCCCCGCCCGCTGAGCAAGAAGGTTTTACTCTCTTTCGCCCTTTACCATTAGCTTCATCTACTGATCCAGTTCGCAGGTTTCCTTCCGCCTATTATACCACCAGGACGGGCACCAGCAGTGGGAGCCTTCAATCCGGTTACACCATCCCCTGTAGTGGGAGTTCCAGCAGCACCTTCCACTCCCTTCGTGAGTCATCCTCCCACAGCTGAAGTCCCTGCCACTTATCCGGCCCGTTTTGGCCAGACTTCCCAGAGGCGCACATAGAAGCTACGGGAGAATCCTCTCGTTTCTACTCCTCTTGTTGATACGGTTCGCAACCTCGAGCAACTACTGGGTGAACTCAGACTTCAAGACTCTACATCTGAGGCACCGGCTGTCCAACCTCCTGACCATACCGCTTCGGGGGCAGCTTCACCCTCTTCCCTCATCCTCGATACTATCTTTCGAAGGGGGAAAGAGTAAGGAAACGTGTCGAAAAATATGATCAACAATATATATTGGAAAAGAGGAAGAAGCATAGAGCTTTATTTTCATATGACGAGACTCACAAAGAACCTAACACATATCAAGACGCCTTACAGAGTGGTGATTCTATCAAATGGAAAGAAGCTATGAAAGATGAGTTTTCTTCTTTAGAGAAAAATCATACCTGGACATTGACAGAGTTACCTTTGGGCAAGAACGTCGTTGGCTGTAAATGGATTTATAAAATCAAATACAATCCTGACGGTTCTGTTGATTGATACAAGGCCACATCAGTAGCTGAAGGATATTCTCAAGTTTATATTGTTCACTTTTCAGAAACATTTTCTCCTGTGGTGAAGTTCACATCCATTAGGGTGTTAATGGCTCTAGCAGCTCAAATAATTTAGAGCTACACCAAATGGACGTGAAAACTGCATTTTTGAACGGACTAGTAGATGAAGAAGTGGACATGGCTCTTCCTGAAGGGTTGAATATCTCTTCTGAGAAAAACATGGTATGCAAACTGAATAAGTCCATTTATGGACTGAAGCAATCCTCACGACAGTGGTATCAAAGAATTGATTCGTGCTTACTGCAGATTGCTTTTACCAGAGCTAATGCAGATCAGAATGTTTACATATACTCTCACGAGAATGCATTTGTGTATTTAGCACTTTGTGGACGACTGTATATTGGCGAGTGATTACTTGCATCTTCTTACAAATGTCAAGGAGAAACTTAAAACTGAGTTCGATATGGTGGACTTAAAAGAGATCTTTCATTGTCTTGGTATGCAAGTGGACAGAAATCGTGAAGAGGGTGGATTCGAATCTCCCAACCACGATATTTGGTTGAAAAACTGGTGAGGTTCAACATGGCTGATTGTAAGCCTATTGATACACCTATGGAACCCGGTTTGAAGTTAAGTGTGCTTGACTCTCCCAATTCAGTGGGAGAAAATGAAGAGATAAAAGATATACCATATCGAGCTGCTGGTGGGACCTCGATGTGGGCGATGGTCTGTACTAAACCCGATATATCTTATGCTGTTAGTTCAGTGGCTCAGTTCATGTCAAATCCTGGTTTGATACATTGGAAGGCAGTCAAGAGGATTTTCAGATATCTGAAAGGAGCTCTCGATTTTGGCCTTGAGTTTACAAGGGTTGATAAACCATCCGGTTTGACTAGATATTCTCATGCGGATTGGGGAGGTTGCCTTGACACGAGACGATCTACTTCTGGATATTGCTTCCAACTCGATGGTGGAACCATTAGTTGGACATCAAAGAAACAAAAGTCAGTAGCACCTTCTTCTACAGAAGCAGGGTACATGGCATTGTCCAAGGCTGGAGCTGAAGCTATGTGGTTAAGAGGATTATTGAATGATCTGGGCTTTGAGCTGGAGTCGACAAAAATATTCTGCGATAATCAAAGTGCTATTGTGTCCCTTTGTAAGACATATACTTTGTTCGTTTGGATGAGGGGTTTAACCCCGGATCCGTTACTGTGTTAAAATGAAACTTTCCTCAGAACTCAATGCCTGTGTCTAGCCTTCTTGCATTGCTCTTCTTTCTAATAAAGGTGCAGAGTTTGTGTTTGAAGCTGTGATTCAGGTGTATTTGTCAAATGGTTTGATACCTGAAACGATGTGTTGGATCGGCGATGGCTCTTGCGAACTTCATATTTCAGTCACGTGTGAGTGTGAGAAGTTCGACTTCGGCCTCCGACGTTTCCTGAAGTAATGACACATGGAACGGTTGTAAGAGGAGTGGTCTTTACTGCAGATCACGAAGAGACCTGCAGGCGGAATGAGGAGCACGAACAGCCATGAGATACATTGTGGCCTTCTCTAGTGGGTCCCACAATTTCTAACATTTTGACCGTAAGCACAGATTGCCACACAATTGCAAGATTCCTCATGATGATCGGCGAACCTATTTTTTGTTAGTCCTCTGAGAGCACCACTCAACTCCTCTCCTTCGATTCCCAAAACCCTTCATCCAGTCGGGAAAGGCAGAGAAACACATGAACATGTGCATTACACACACAACCTTTCCAAATAAGTTTTGACCGTAGCTGTAGTTATTCTCCTCCGAGTGTACCCAGGCTTCTCTAGATTCTTTTGTTGATTTGTGTTCCGAAAAGCACAAAGGGAATATCGAGCAATTTTCTTGGTACTTTGGCAAGGTTGGGGAGTGAAGGTTTCCAAAGAATATGATTTGTTACATATCCTATGCAATCTTCTCGACGGGCATAAACAAGCAGGAACTGTTATTTTTTAAGCTTTCTTTTGTTATATTGTTATTCGTGGTTTGTACTCTATCAGAACAATCGATCAGCAAGATGGATGTAAATAGATCATCCGTTCATAATCTACATGTGGTGTTTACAAATCTATTCTAGATGTGTATGACAAGCATCAGATCCACGAAGTTATTTTGGGATGAAGAATTGATAGAGGCAGAAACAGGCAGAAACAAATCTAAGCCTGGCCGTGGAGCAGTTAATTGTTTTAATAAAAGAAGCGGGTTCGGAGTAACTTCAGTTCATCAACAAAACTCGGTTCACCAAACATGTTTCGGGAACATTGTAGCGTAGAGTCCTAAACGGAAGTTGTTCGTTTCTCGTCCATTGTTATATGCTCCCTCGAGATGGGAAAATATTTCATTCACCAAACTGCGTTATCGCAGATTTTTCAAAGGAGAAAAGAAATCAAGAAAAAATATGCGTGGACAAACATAAATTCGCCAGCGCAAATTCTGCTTTGGCGGAGATCTACATATCTCGAAACAAAGTCCTATGGCCCGATCGAGGAACGATGTAAAGTTTACATCGGATTAGTTTACATTGTAAACTAAACCGAACCGTCCACTTGAGGTACTCACACAGTCTCTAGGAATTGCGGTAAAAAGTTAAGAAGAATTTTCATCCTCGTAAGAAACAATGAAAAACTTGTGTGAAAGTCAGCTCTCCCGTGAAGCAACACAGCTGGACAACAATTTTGCCTGCGAGAGGATAAGCAGATGGTTGTGACTGGCTTCTAACTGACTGGAAAGTGGGTAGAACATAGCACGGGGTTGATAAGCCAGTATATCGTGTGACTGGTGGGTCGGTCGGGCTGATTGATTGTGGACATCTTCTCGTGCTAGAAAGGCGGTAAGAATATGCCCATTACTTTCAAATGTGCCCGGATTTCCGTCAGAATATGCTACAGAGGAGCTGCATGCCGCATGTAGCACTGGCAAAGATAGCAAAACCTCATCCGACACGTCTTCTCATGATGCTCACGCAAGCATGACGACGCTGCTGTTTATGCTCCGTGTACAACTTATTCATCCAAAGCTGCGGGCTCTCCAATTATTGAGCCCCCATTGAGGCAATGTATGATGCGACAAACAAGTACCAGCTCATTATACGTGAGACCAGCGAACGGACTCTGAATTTGATATTGAATATGTACATTGCTTTCGAAGGTGTAAGACCTTCCTCTGGACAAGCTCGGTCGAAAGATACTACAAGCTGTGTTCAGAGCGACTTGAGAGACCAGTCAGTCTTTCGGCGGAACGAACCCGCATTTAAATTACAGTCGTCTGTTTGCTAAAAATTTTCATTCAGAACGCTGACGGCAAGGACTGACTGTCTCTCACCTTGGCTATGAAACATCTGCGAGTTCGGGTATGACCATCTTTGAAATCAGATGATTTTGCCCGACTCACCTGTACAATAAATGTCTTCTCCACTAGGACAGGATTTAGTCGTTCGGCTGAAAAGACCTAATTCCATCAAAACAACACACGAGTCAAACAACCTCGTATCATTAGATTTCTGGGAGGATACTTTGTACTTAAGCGGAATAAAACATGCTGATGCACTAAAAAATTCAGAGAGGTTTGACCCCAAAGGAGAGAATTAAAACTTAAGGAGCTCAACGGAATATCAGTCCAGTTAAGCATCTTACGATTGAAAAGGATAGCTCTGTTCACAAGCCCGCGGAGCCAATCGCAGTTGATTACTTGTCCGAAGCATTTCCTGCGAGGAGTTCCGCGCAGCCTGAATAATAATGCACTAGTCCCCGAGACTGCACAGCGCCCTGGTGAACACGAAAACTTTAAGAGCATGCACAGCTGACAGTCATTCGCCATGGAATGGATTCCGAATTCAATGTTGTCTCAAGAACACGGCGTCTAAGATGTCATGCCACAAGATGCATCAGAATGACAGGTGTTTCACCATCAACTCATCCCGAAATAGGAGACCGGAATGGCTCGTCTCTTCGCTCCTTGGATTTTCCGACCAGGCCTTTCGAGCTTGTATCAGCTCCAGTATCCAGTCAAAAACCTGCAATGAGCAGAAGAGGCATTTGGGTATGAAGTGATTACCGTCAGCAACGAACGAATATGCTTCTCAATACATTAGATTGGATTCCGCTTGGTACCTGCGCTAATCTATAACGAGGCCGCTCCAATTGCGCACCACGCACTTTCAGTCCCGTGCCCTGACATTCTGGACAAAATACAGCCCCATCCACGAATGGATTACTTCCATCGTCTTGAATGGTACCCCTCTTGAGCGTTTGTTCGATGATGGCCCGTCTACTCTTCAAAAGCTTTCGAGTGCGATCTATTCTGTGGTCCAATGCCCCCGAAAACGTCTTCACTTCACAAATGGAAATCCAGTCAATTAAGCAGGAGCTGTGATATACATGGAACACCTGCAAAAAGTTGAAACATCCACCAGATGAGAAGAGAGCGGGCTTCATTCTCTATGAAATGCTGACCGCACCTTCACTGACATGTCAGGTTGCTTGCATGAGACCTATTTTGCTAGCGTTCCAGAAAAAATTGGTGCATGCAGAGAGAAAAACTGTTCGGGGTTCGGGGTGAGGCAGAATCTTCGTACCCCGCGCTTATTCCGGCTTCCACAAACCATCTGTTTAGTCTGTAGATTTAGCAAGGCGGCCACATCCTTCCCTGCGGTCATCCTCTGGTGACAGATAAAGCACAGTCTTTCAAGCAACCTCGGTTTCTTCCGCTTCCAGCGACGGACTACCCTGCCAGTGGAGTCTTTGGCAGCAGCAGAAGAATTCTGCTGCTCTACTTCTAGCGACGTCTCTTTGCCAGAGTCCGACAAGTTATCACTGGATGTCGACTTTGCACCTATCAAAGCCAGAGCCTTACAGCCGAGCTTCGTCTTGGAACTGAGAGTGTCATTACTGGACTTCTCGAGTAACATCACATCCTCTGTTTCGGACGGCTGACTCCTCGCTTGTTTCATGTCGAACCAGGGCTTCCAATTTCCCCCCCGCCCGATCATGTCACTGTAGGGAAACATCACGACCGCATAAACAATTCCACCTGCCTGGCCACTCTGCCAACCAGCCTCGGGGGTGGATTTTCCTTTGCCCCTCCAGCAGAACCAGGAAGCCTCCACAAGAGGAGCAGCGCCAGCAAACCGAAGGCTGAAGAAGAGTTCACCACTTCCAATCCATTGCAAAGGAGTTTTGGAAGCCTCCGGAGCACCAGAGGCGTCCGCCAAAAGAATCTGGGAATCACGCGGCGAAAGACTGTGAGGGACGACAGCGAGACCCTCCGGCGACGTGAAGTCCTGACCCGCAACTCCTGCTCCGGCTTCACCATCGTCTTGCTCCTTACCGCGCTTCAAGATCGACCGCTCGCCGGAACCTGTCTTGAGAATTGCAGCATGTTGAGGAGCCGAAGCTTGCGCGGAGAGGCGCGCATGCAAATTCCCTTGCAGGTGATCCACGAGAGCACCATCGCTGTAACACCTCGTCCCGCAGCGTGTGCAGACAAAAATTGTCCGGCGGCCATCGCGTTGAAGCTCGACGCACCGATGGCCCCGCAGCCACGCTTCGCGAAGAACGGCGCGGGCCGCTCCTTCCTTCATGCCCTCTCGGTTCCGCAATCACTCCCCTCCTATCGACTTCCCTCCCGAATCACAAGTTCGAATGCCCTCAACGTCGTAAACTCCGACGCCGACCACTCCTCCTCGCCCCGAGAGCACAACAACAACAACCTCGGCCCATCGCTCCGGCTCCGGCTCCCGCCCGCACGCACGCCACCACCTCTCGATGTCTCGGTTCCTGCCAGCACCGAAGCAATTTCACAACTGCTCGACATAAAGAAGCCACTCCTCGCAAACCACCACGAGCGCCGAGTCGATCCTGCAACCGAACAATTGCGCGACGTAAAGATGCCCGCCCTCGCTTCAAGCTCGCGAGCCTTCCCTTCGAGACGTGGCGCGCTGCTGACAGACCTCCTCTCGACGACGAACGCACGAGAGAAATCGGCAGCGCTCGAATGCGCAGGAGAACGTTGGAGAACTTGGCGCCCTTCGACCATCCGTCCGGCCGTCCGTCCGTCCGTCCGTCTGCGGACCTACGCCGGCAGAGCTACTCCGGACTCCGGACTCGCGGCACGACTTGGTTCCTGGGGATTTGTCTGGTCTGCGTCATGGGCCTTCGGACACCGAGGCCGTTCCGGTCTGGGACCGTAATCTCGTTAGTGGGCCTCGGGATCCCCCGGGGCAATTATTAGCGCACAGTGGTCCGATCGCCAGATTCGAGGACGCAAGAGCCCGACGATGCAACCGGAGCCCGGCCAAAAGAAGTAAGTGGTGGCCGCCAACTTTGCCAGCAGCCTAAATCGGGAAACCTCCTCCTCCTCCATTTCATAGTTCGCACGCAAAGTCTCTGGCTTTGACTTTATCCTCCGGCTTCGCCTTCCCTGCCGTCTTCGCTCTGACGGCGAGATCCCCGGCGTGTCTTGATCTTTCACGGTGCGCACTTCCCGTCACCGGTTCCGAAGCTTGGAAGCGCTTGTCTTGTATGCCATGTGTCGGTGGACTTCATACCGACCCAGTAACTCCGGGACTTTGCCGTAGCCAGTCGGTTAGAATGCCCTGTAAGTTTTCTCCCGGTGTCATCGTTTGATGGTTCCCGGTGATCGCCCGCCTCAAGACCTTCCAGTGCACAAGTTCGTACACATCTTGACTTCAACTTACTGTACTAAGAAATTGTCTGTTTTGTCCATATTCTTTCGCATCTATCCCTTCCATTAACGTTAGTTCAAACCTTTACTCTGTACATGCATGCTTCCTCTGCTTAAAAACATGGTCTTCATAACAATACTCTTTTGAATATACCTTCTGCCAGGTGATATTAAAATTTAAAATATATATTTTGATCGATAGTTTTATATTAAATATGAAATCAAGATTTACTCTTGCATGCACAGTTTCTACACGGGTGTCAGTTCAGCAACATCATCAATCTACAACATCCTCCTAGATTCTCAAATTAAAAAATTATGTTTATATTGAATTACTATTTTGCATTCATATTTTCAGAATTTTAGGTATTGATCATCATACTAAATTTCTATCAAAATTGCACTGTTTTATCATAATCAGCACCCACAAATCTCTGTGGAACAATTCATTCATGATTGAAGAAATTATATTTTCAAAATTTAATTTTAACTAAATTTGACATGACTTATATTCTCGTTTTCAACTTGTGAATTCAATCACATTATAAAAAAACTTAGTTATTTGTCTTCTTTCTGAAGAATAAAATTTAAAGCCTATTCCGACACGTGGACATACGATATGATACTTGGACTTGAAAAAACTAACACATGTTTTTGTACAAATTCTTATGACCGTACAGATAATTATCTATGATATTTTTAAAATTTTAATGACATTTTTCATAGATTAATTTTTGAATGCATACTTGAAAATCTACTACTATCTTCCTTATATCATCAAAACTGTTTCTATGTGCTTTGACTCCATCACTTTCTTACAATTTTTCATCTATCTACTTCCATTTTTTAAACCAATAGCTCTAGCTTTTTATGAATGTCCATGAATAAAATTTCGGATAATGACTTGAAAATGTGTTGTTAAAACTTTCCATTCACTTGCAATTTCTTTGACATTAAATCTTATGTTCATACCATCTTACATGGAAAAAAACTCCAACCAAATTGTGAAATAATATATTCAAAAAATTAGCTTTGAATAAAATAAATCGGGAAAACTGATGAATGTATGTTTTAAAAATATAATTCAGTTCATATATCAATTTTTAAAACTTTTTCAAAGTAGATATTTAATTTTAGCAGGAAACAAATTTGAATTGAAATCTCCATAAGATGTTAACAGATATTTTCTTTAATGATTTATTTTTTAAGAAAATAATATATAATTTAAAGATATTTATGGTTCAAAACTGTTTCAGTTTACGAATTTAAATGATTAAATATGATATCATTCCAATTGAAGAAAAATTTATACTTATTTTAATTTTATTTGATTATTTTAATTTTTTTAGATTATTTTAATTAGAGAAAAATATTGAAATCATAAAAACTTCGACTATATTTATGAAATATTTTTGATATTTTATAAACTAAAAAATACATGAAAAGATCTCTATGTTGTAGTAACTTTTAATCTTCAGATATTATTGCAAAAATCACTGCAAAAATTGAATCAAGTGCCAAATAATCATATTTGACACTTAAATTTATCTAAAAATATTTTTAAGTGTCCATGAATTTCAAATTGAGATCAATGCTAGAATAAGTCAAATTTTATGATAAAAAGTAAAAAAAAAAATCAGGCTAAATTTAATTTTTTTGGATCAAATAATATATACATTAGATCGAAATTTTGATTAAATTTCGAAAATCATATATAATTAATTAAATTTATATGATATTATATTCCATTTTTTTGTTAAAATTTTATTATAAATTTCACTAAATATTTCTACATATAATTAAAATTTTCAAGATTTAGGACAGAAGTTCAAGTTACAGATTTGAGTATTAGTTGGATTCAAGAGTTTGAACAAGAAATTGTCCGAGTTTTTTACCGTAATTTGAAAAAAATTCGGAGCCCCAGTGCAATGGTTATTAATTTTTGAGGCAATCAACTGATTCATCTCTGCATATTGAAAGTTATTTTTTGTGATCAGAAACAAATGTAGAGATTCTATCGTAGTATAATTATAGAAATCAGTGAAGCAAAACTCCTTACGTATGCCTAAGTTACAAAATCCAAAGATGGCCGTTTTGGTCTTGGAAGACGTCCAAAATCAACTAACTTCTGCTGATAGGACAAAAGGATTAGAAAAATACCTGAAATTGTGAATTTGTAGCCAATGGTGGATATATGTTACCCTATTACAATTAAAGCTGGCATGTATGGAACTTCTGGTTATTCATGTAAACTCAGATATAGCTAATAATTTCTTCTACATACATCAAATTAAACCACAACCAGCAGAAGAAAACTAAATTGAAAACGTTGGGTCTCAGAACAGAAAAGACAAGATGTGGACTTGATTTTATTAAATTCAAGGATAGGATCAACTTCACTCTTGATAAGCAAAATGTCTTATACTTTAACCTTTCACATTCCTCCTGTTTTGAAGCCAATGGAGGAGCTCAAGATTCATTCAATCTTTCAAATACAATCATTGTATGGACGTTTTCAGCTGACGGAGGCTGACAGGTATCTTCAGATTAATTAATCGTGTTAAGAGCGTAAGCCTGTGGCTTTTCACTCTCACTAACGACCCCTCTCGGACAACCATGTCTTGTAAGATGAGCGCCGCAGGGGTGGATTCTTGGATAAGGTCCATGCTAATTCCAAGAACTCTTATCGTAGTTTGGCGATAGTGCGTTCATCCATTACACAAGACTGATAACAGGAATTAAAGCTTCTTCATTGGCATGCGAATTCTTAAAAGTAATGTTTGACACAAATCATTTTCTAAGGATTGTCAAGCAATGGTAACCTGTGATGTGCACGCAGGTGAATAAATATTTTTTCTGAAATTTCTTTTGGGTGTGTGACAAGCTACTCAACTTTATTAAAACCTAATTATTCAAAAGACCATTTCTAATGTTCAACTCATACTAATAAATTCACTTTTTACAGTGAGACTAGATAAGAGATTCTGGATTGATCCCCATCTAAATATTGATTATGTACCATATGAACCACTGCTTTTCGTGGGACTGAGTAATAGTCAGACTCATCATGTGAATCTAGGATTTAAATTCGACTCGTGCCAAGAAAGTGATAAAAAATGTTGAAAATAAAACAAAAGGAATGATTTATACACCACACAATACGAGCCCTGATCAATATGCTTTTCGGTAACGTTTATGTGTATTTTTTCCCCAAAATTAAGAAAATTCAAATATACGCCGCATCAACCCAAACATGGAGCCAATCCGTTAATATAAAGGAGTGGCTCAGAAGATCAAACACCTGACTGGTCCTCAGTGAGGGGGACAGAGCCATACACTTAGGAAATAAAGAAAGAAAGAAATAAATAAATAAAAAATATATGGCAAAAATAGCTTAGATATTAATATAGCCTTGCTAAGGTTAAGGTTGAGGGTTCAATTCTCTCTTGCTGCTTGGATTGTCATTTTCTGGTCTGGTCCTCCCGGGCCTTCTAATAAATATGGGAAGGACTCATATAAAATGTACACATAAACGTGCAAAAAGAAAATGTAGGTTTGAAGGAGACAATGGTCCAAAAGTCTGTATTCCAGATCGGCGAATGGGGCCGCAAACTCTATGCCAGTGCCAGCAGGTCAAAGATTCTTTGCAATGGACCAGGCCTGTTAATGATTCCTGATGATGAACCTCTACAACGACTAAGGTTGGGGCGGGAAATAGGCCTGTCTTCGAACCACTTGGTGTCGACACCGTCCTGAGTTTAGGACTAAGTTTAGTTTATCCCCGGGGGCTTGACTTAAGTCGGGATACTATTACCGGCAGAGGATCATGAGAAGAGCGGGTCCCGGTTCTCCCTTTGTTGCCACTCGACTCTTACGCGACTGCCTCTAATGCATGGAGCTGCCCCCACCTTGGCATATGCGTTTGCAGTGGCATCCATCGAAATACCGGAGGTTGTCAAGCCTTTTCCGCAGTCTGGACAGCAATCCTAGGTCGTCTGGTCAATGTCAGAGAGCAATGTCAGCCCTTTCAGCTTTCGAGCACGTCGCATTCAGGGATTATTGCTGAAAGATACGAAGCGCCTGATGAGATTCTCCAGAACCTCTCTCGCACCAGCTTTGTGATAGCGCAACATACGAGTCCTGCAGGATCAACACGACACTTCTTCGAATTGCTAGCATTTGCAACGGCCTTCATCAGAGGAAAGCCGAAGCTCACACACTTGATCTCTGGAATTTTTTGGTTTTCTCGCCCGTAGTTCCTGGCCTTGCACCTTCTTTTACGGGATTCCTTGTGGAGAGTGGAATTCAGAATGAATGTACTGGACATGTCTCAGTTGCACACGAGGAGGTTTTAGCTTTGTCTAGTCATATAATCTATCCAAGTGACAAGCAAGATTGACACAAGGACTCGCTGTCTGAGTTGAAGGGCAATGTGATCACAGGAAGTGCCTCTGTAAGTGTAATCACATTCGTTCTACAGCGGATGCACTGTAACACGTTTGCGTTGTCCAGCTCAACACATGAACGCGATTGTGTATCGACAGTGGATTAGAGAGGAGATTCCTGTAATATATTGAATTAGAAAAGATGGTGATTACTGCACAGTTCCACTGTAGTTTGGCCGAAGGTATGTGTGTCGCGTAACGTGAAATGTGTTCCACGCTTTAATTGTTCAGTTTACTCATACCGTGTCATGTTATGTTACTCATCTGCTCAAGCATTCCACCGTTATTGACAAAAGATATGTTTTTTTCTGAATTGGAGTCTTAAAACAATTTTAAGAATGCCATAGAAGCTATGGTTTAACTCATTAACATGGTTCACGAGAACCTTGTGTAAATGGTAATGGTAAATGGTAATGGTAATGGTAATGGTGTAATAATTGGTGTACACAATAGTTGTGTTAAGGCTACAACGATGAAGGATATCGAATCACTTTCGATGTTAGACAAAATTCAAATGTATGCAAAGTGCAAGATAATCTCTTTCTGTAGTAATAACACTCCATAAACTTTCTCGACAAAATGCAAACCTGCAACGCTCCGACGTCTCGCTCTCTGTTTTGACTTTTGAGGTACTGATGTCCGGTTCTTCTTCACAAATGCAAACTTTAGATCGTCTTAAAAAATCGGTCTTTGTATGTTACGATATATAAATACAAGTTGCATACACGTCAGACTTCAATGTTTCCAAATCGTTACTCACATTAAAGTGAAGCAATAATAGTTTTGATTTATCAATGCCTTTTATTTTGACGAATTAATTTATTCGATTTGTTGGGAGGGTGATATATGCCTCTGTACGGAAACAACCTCCCTCCAGCCCTTCGGTGCAAACACAAGTAAAATTGAAATCACTATCGATTCGCAGTGGCATATATGACTATGACAAACGTTGGAGCTGAACTAAGCCATGTTGACTCCTCTTCGATCGCACAGGCACAAGTGCTCTGCCACTACACTCACAAACGGTTCTGTTATGCAAAGTAGTGTGGAAGGTTACGAAAGAGATTATTTTTTTGCCTCGAATGCATTCGGCATCACTATAAGAAATACATATCAACATATGAAAGATGTGAAGGATCATGAAGTACGTCTCCACCGCATGTGTCATAGGCCCATATAAATGTGTTCCATTCTTTAATGAGGCGCAGGTGTACGTTGAACTATCTATTCTTCAACGCTCGATTTATCGTCTTCGTCTTACAGTTTCGATACGTGATACATGCAGCTCAACGATTTGTTGATTTCGCTATCCTTCCATCCAGTTTTCGATCCTACATGATTACTGATGGACAACATATCTTAAATATTAAATTTATCTATCGATAGATAAAGACCTTTTTCAGAAGGAAAAGAGTTACCTCAAAGAAGTTGCAGGAGCAGAAGTGCGGAGGTCAACAAATATTAACATGTTGCTGCTGCTGCTGCTGGGAAACCCTTGAACTAAACAACCTTAAATATGTCTGGAAAACTTTGGTCTTCAAACGACACAATCTTAGCGATGCTGAAATGCGTTTGTTTAACTATTGAAGGGAGCTGTCTGTCGAAGTGATCCCCGTCAGGCCCAGATGGCCAGCGAAGACATGGCAGCAGCGCCAGCAAAAAGTGCAAAATATGAGAAAACTTGTAACTGACGATCACACTTCATACGCTTGCTGAGGAAGTCCGCAGCGATGAGGTCCACCAGTGACATGTAAACGAGAATTCCAGCAGACACGGAATCAAAGAGACCTTCCACAATAAGAGCAGATTGACTGTTCTCATTGTAGCTCGAGGCGATTCCAATACCGAGCGCAATGCCACATGGAGTGGTGAAGGCAAAGAAACAAGCCATAATAGCTGCTGATGTGGCCTTGAAACCCGCCTGCAAAAGATTTCATCTGCCATGAATCAATGTTCAAAATAGAAAAAAGATCGATCTAGCACCACCTCCTAATCGAAATCACGTTGCACGCCACTAAAACAAGAGTTCCCATCAAAATCGTCCCCCACGACCTCCCAAATGTGTCCCAGCCCTCTGAAGATAAAACTACTCTTCAGACACAATCGCTCTTATGAGGAAAAAAAGTACTTCATAGCTCTTCTTTATGGGATTTCATGATACCACAGAGAAGAGCTGTAACTACTAGTCTACCACGTCCATTACCTGGGATATGCAACCTCCAAGAGCAAAACCCTCGAAGAATTGGTGGAAGCAAAGAGCTGCAAAGAGAGGTCTTATGTTGCACGGGCTATTTGACACACCCAGAGAGATGCCGATGATTACTGAGTGCGCGACTATTCCAAGCTCCAGGACCTGTTCACATCTTGCCGGGCAAATCAACATAAATGAGGCACTCTCAATCGAGCCGTTATATTGTACAATAGCATGCTGAGGCACAGGTCGACTTTACAGATAAACCTACACAAAATCATTTGAATGGAAAAAGACGAACTGCGAAGGGGGAAAGAAGCTTTCAAGGACAATACCTGCGATATGACGATGTGACGAACAGAAACCTCTTTCCCGTTTCCTTCATTGAAATGCGAGTGCCCGTGGTGCATGTGATCATGACTCATGATGTCACCGTGGTGTCCTTCGGCGTGGCTGTGGCCGTGAGAAGCAGCATGCGCTCGCATGCCAACAATGTGCATTCCATCTCCATCGACCTTCTCACCGTTTGAACGACGATCATCAGAATCGTCGTCAAATCTGTCGCTGGCAATCCGTGCGGAATGTTGGTCTCCGACATGCAAGGCCACTCCGTGCTTTCTCTCATAAAATTCCGTTCCCACAAAATCAATCAACAGAGTGAATAAAGCCGCCATCATTGCAACGAACCCAAACCAAGGGAATTTGTGCCATGGGTGCTCGGGCAGGCAAGGGCTGCCCAGACTCTTCTGGGCGTCCGGCAGCATGTGGACAAAACCAGTCGCTAAAATAACGCCTGCTGCAAACGCCTTCGCAACGAAGAAATAGTTGCCATCTGTCCGTAGGTACTTGAAGTTCCTGCCGAGGAGGGGTAGAGCTACTCCAAGAGCGCTGGCGGTCAATATAGCCACTATGGCTCCAATTTTAAGCCGAATCGCACTCTCCTTGTTTCTACACGTAAATGATCCTCCGGCATCGCATCCCGACATGATGTTTACTTCGACTAGTTGCAATTCTCGCTCCGGACCCTGAATTGGACATGGAAACGGACAGTTTACGTCAAACGGGCGCCAAGAAACTTTATCTTTTTTTCTTGGTAACTGCAGGCAGGCACGCTAAATGTATATGAACAATCTCAATGTAGAGGCGGTGGATGTTAAGCTGGCTTAGTTTCCTCCTTCCGCCATCGTGTTGATTTTAATTCATCGTAAACAACATTGAGACCGTGACCCACCGGTAAAAGGATCCACTAGCAGCCAACTTGAGCGCAAGAATGCTGCGTTTCAACAAATATTCTGGGTTTGTGAACTCAAATCATCCTTCTCCTGCAACTGAAACAAACGCAAATTCCATCAGATCAACCGTCGTAGATTTGGATCTGCCTCCGTGCGCATGCCGCACTGACGGACAGTATCTGGTAAAGTGCCCTACGAATCAAAGCTTTGTACATGTGTTGTCTGGCGACCTTAGATAAGTTACTAGAGAAGAAAGACATGGTCTATACTGAAGTTGCAATTGATTCTAGTCGGGGCAAATAATCCCACGTGTAAGTCGTACCCTGTCCTCGACGATGTTACTGCTGGTTATAAATCCTCGGCCGATGTCGGGAAACCAGGATGCTTATACAAATATGCAGAGAAGATTGGATTGTACGACTCATCTTCACAACACTCTCTTCCAAAGTGCGAAATATTCATAATCCAGCAATGTTGCATATAAACTCTCAGCCCCAAAAATACGTAGAATCCTAACTCATACCTCATTGCCATCCGAGTCCACAGATGAGAGCACAATCTTTACGTGAGAACCATCGGCTTAGCAATCCTTCACTTTCTCTTTCGGGTGGAGATAAGACACCCGTAAAGACAATTCTTCAATCGCACGTCAAAATACTCAAGCTTTCTGTTCTATGCTTGGACCTTCCACGGCCTTCACTCGTCTCAACCCACACTGCGGATGATTTCACTCTCAAGAGTGAGAATTCTCAGATACGTTCGAATCCAAATCAACACGTTTTGATTTTCTGTCCTCTTTCGAATCCTGACAAAGCGCGAGATACTATCGTTAATTCCGTCTCGGGGTCTTAAATTCCAAGATTTCAGAAAGGAGAGGAGAAGGAGAGATTGACTACATTCAATTTTACACACTCGTGTGCACCTACGTACAATTACGCGCATACCTTCCGTCCCGAGCGGAGGGCGAAGTCGAACAAACGCTTGGCTGCTACAACTCAGAAAATCAAACAAGAACGAAGGCAGGCGCCCAGAGGAAGAGAAGAATGTCATTCCGGCGGATGGCAGGGGAGGCCAGATGCGGGGACAGAGCGGCAGCGCGGAGCACAGCCGATCGCGCGAGACAGGTACGACTCGCACCATGGAGATGGAGATGGAGCAGGAAGCCTCGGGCGGGACCGCGAGGCAGCGACGAAAATCGACATGTCGCCGTTGGTTCTGTTCGGTTGGCCTTTCTCGGGCTCGGGCTCTGGAAAATGAGACGCCTGCGGGCGGAGACCAAACCCCAAACCACTGTCGAGCCTCGAGACAAGAAACTAAGCGATGTCGACACTTCCGAGAATCTCCTGTTCTGTTCGTTCTCTTTCGCCTCCCTCTCGCTCTCTCGTCTTTCTCCCGAGCTCGAGCTCCCCTTCCCCTGGGCCCGTCGAATTCCCCGCTTTCTCCCGCCGCGACGCGTGTCCCGATGGCCATTCTCGCGCCTGCCCTTGAGAAGTATTTCTTTTCTGAGCTCCTTTGCGGCCCCTTTGCAGACTCCGCTCCTCGTCGAATGTTGACATCGCCCTCTAGGCCACACCGGCCCAACGTCATCCTTCGGCCATGTACGTCGACGATCAGCTTGCATGAGCTGAGTGTCAACATCGGACACAAATGGTACACCTACAATTATGACCTTTAGATGCAACCTGTTCTAAATGCAATCGAGTATGATGTAACCAAAAAACTGCGATTTTGTCCGGAATGATTTATTACTTCAAGATGATGGCATCTTGTACAACTACATTTATCAGTAGGATTACAATTATATATCTCTAATAACATCAACAAATGTATACCACGCTTGAGATAAATCATAATGAGAAGAGTACTTATGCACCTTCTTCTTTTTGGGGTGCATTTCTATTTGGATTGGAATATAAGAGACATAAATAAATAATGAGAAATTGGTCTTTTTGGCATTGACTGAATGTTTCCTAACCAAAGATCTTTCGTATTATGTCTATATGACTCTTTGAATTGTGTGAGGGATGTCCGGAGAAGAAAAGCTAATCTGAGTAATGAGAGTAGACTAAGAAAGATCTTAAGAGGATACGGAGAGATTGTCTAAGAGACAACTTATACATCTCTTATTCATGGATTTTTCTTGGGTTCAAACAGCCAACTTGGAATTGTGAAATCATTATTGTTTGGAAGAGTATATCATACATATATTATACATACATAGTACCTTATGTATCAAAATTTTCAATCAAATATAAGACCTTACACTCATTTCAAATTCTTGAACGTTATTATTGTGAATATGTCATCTCAAATATATCCTTAGTGACACAAACTTTTCGCATATTCAACCACATCATATCTTCATTAATCCAGATAAATACTTATCTTGACAACTATTTTGGATCAAATTCTATATATATTGTTGTATTAATGGATTTTTGAAATGCCATCAATTATACCATGGCTTTCCAAATAGTCATCATTGTATATTCTTTTAGGTAGCGGCTAGTTATACCTCAATTAGGGCTAATTAGTACTCATTCTATTCCAAGTTCTTATCTCATTGGAAGATGCAACGTTATAGGTTCCTCGCATGAGTAGTAATCATGTAAGATGTTTGATCAATTAGAAAATCGCGTATACTATGATGAAAGCTAATTAGCTCTAAGTGAGGTATAACAAGCACTCCATTTCTTTTATCATTTAACTCTTTGATATTTACGTACCTATGTATGTATGTGTCTAATCTTCTCAAAATTTATAATGACTATAACCTTATTAACATGTCTAAATTACAACCTCTTGTGTGGTAAATCTTCCATTTTAATATTCTGATTTGAACAACGATTCTATCTATACTTAAACAATATGATTTGAGTAAGATAAAATTAGAGCTCTGATCGGATCAAATTTGACCTTCAATCCGAACCCGATCCCAAAAACCGGGTCGGATCGAATAGAATCCGAATTGACCCACTGACATCCATGATCGTGAGGGGATTGAGAGTGGAGAAATGGCAAAATTGAAAATCGGGAATCAAGATATTGGACATGCTAGTATTTCTTGACGAGGAGGCGGTGCGAGAATTTTTTGAAGAGTCAAGACGAGCATAATATGTAGCACAGCATTATACTACTAGCCACAAAAGCGAGTGAACAAGGGAACGGTTGCCTGCATTGCATCAAGCGAGGCGCGCAGTAGGAGGGATGAGAAAGAGTGTCGTACAAGAGAGGAGTAGCACGATAGTTTCGCAAGACACAAGGGAAACACATGTAGACGATGACGGAACAGCTAGGCTTGGACATGATCTCTTAATGGTAGTTGCTTTACAAATTTTTGGGTTTCAGATCAAGTACATACCTCTACCTGAACTCGTAATTGATTTGACCCGAACTCAAATTTTTGAGCTTTACCCGAACCCAATCGGAGCTCTAGGTAAGATTCAGTATCAACACAATGTGTGTGTATGTATGTATATGTATACATGTATGTATGTATATGTATATATATATACTTACTTTGATGTTCAACTTATGACTAGTTTTACAAACTCTCAATTCATTACGCAATGAAACTATATAACACTAGAAATCTAGATATATTACAAATAAAACATATTAAACAAATAACAAATGAACTAGCGATGCTTATATATGAATATCAAATTCAAAACATTTGAAATCTGAAGACTCAAATCTTTTTTGATAAAAAAATTAGATAGATCAACCTCCATGACGTATAACTTTCCAGATTTATGTCGAAGCCACTTTCATGTTTTTTTAGCATGTCATATTTATGTTGAGTAAGAATTATAATTGTTGTCATGAAGTTTTGGTTTTTACTAAAAATAATAGTTGGCCTAAGGTTTCACTTATGAGGTTTATAGTGTCGACGGTGACTCGAAGATCGTCGGTTCTTTGAGTCGAGCCTATTAGCGTTGGGAGTTCTGTGATTGCCCGTAAGCGTCGACCTGAAGTTTCTTCATAGTGGGTTGGACTCAACTTATGTTTGTGACGATTTTCTGCCTGTGGAACAATTGAAACCGACGTGATTTCGAGTGGCAAAGAAAACGTATTTCCATTTGTGATACATTTGAGTGTGTATGTTCTCATGTCTTATGTGTGTGTATATAAGTAGCATGTTAGCAATATAGAATGTATGGCGATACGTATTTGCACGACACTTTATATTTTAAATTCTTTATAATTGACAAAGATTTTAGTGTATAGTTATAAAAAAATTACCAATATAAAATAATCAGGACATTTATTTAGGTGTGATTGATCAAAATTGAAAAAAAATATTATAATTAGAATCATCAAAATATCTTTTTGCTACACATCAAAATATATTGTAACCAAAATAAAAATCAAGATCTAATGACATTAACATAATACAAACATAATGATATTGTAAAATTTTCATAAAAAACATTTATGTTTAACCAATAAATAAATACCTTATTTAATCAGAAAGTTAAAGTCTATGTTCATTTACAAGCTTGTATTTGCATCTTTCTTAATATTATAATTTAATATTATTTTAAATATCAATGAAAAATAAAATGAAAATTTTATAATTAAAAAATTAGTATATTATGTCATTTATTTCATTTCCTTCTTTTAACATAAATGCAATTCTTGAAAGAAAAAATCAACCAGAAATTTGTCAAATATTGCAAAAAATTATACTTACATAAACATCAATTTTTGATTCAACCTACATATTCAAAATTAATAATAATAATCGATAATTTTAAAAAATCACAAAATTTACATGATTCTAATTCCTGAAAAACGTAATCTACCAAATTGTGTAAACCAAAATGATATGAAAGACGTTTATTTTGTATATTAAATTTACATATTTCATACTTTTCGAAAGTCTAATTTATAATTTTTACCCTAGAAAATGTTTTTTAGAGAAGAAACATGTTTAATTGATTATTTTTCCTTCAATTTTATTTTAATTTTATGAAATTTAATATAAAATATAAGTTTTTTTGGTTGAATACAAAAAATGATTGTAATGTATTTAAACAACTCAATACTTTAATGATCATGCCACTTATTTATTAATATCTAGTCTACAAATCTTATGCCAACAAAACGTATTTTTTGAAAGATCATCATCATTGAATTATCAAATATACTTTTTATAAAATTTCATATCTTTTACAAATGATGTCTTGATCTTGATCACAAATTGAACTCACAAGTCTAATGTATTATCTTAAATTTAAATATATCTCAACAGTATAAACAAACTTTTTTCAGCTTATTGTATTTTATAAATTTACATATAAAATCTAAATAACATGCAATGTACGATAAATGAGATTAATTTTAAAATTTTATATGTAAAGTTATATTTCATGACTTAATATCTTTGAAAATCTTTCTTTTTACAAAATAATTATTTAAGAACGTTCATAGTTATTGCTTTTACATGTCTCAAGATAAAAAGCAAAAAAACTCATAAAATTAATTCAATATATTAAACAAATTTGTAATACAATGTAATTTCAGATTAGGAAAGTTATTTCAAATTTATTCGAGTTCAATATGATTTTAAGTAGCAAATTTATATGTATAAATAAATCTTATAACTAAACTGATATCTTCTAAAAATCTAATAAGTTTATCTATAGAAATTTGAAATAATGCATTTTTTCTAAAAAATATGTTTTATCAATCGTTTCTGAATAAAAGATGTCGTGGTATGTGAGATTAATGTATACTGGTTCTATATTATACAAGTTCAAGATGTTAATGAAACAATATTTTATAATTTTGGATTTAAGTTCAATAAAATAAATCACAAATGTCGTAGTTAAGTTGTATTCACATCATTTATATGTGTAACATAAAAAAATGTAATTAGTATAATTGAGCTTGCTCTTTTGCAATTGTTGTCTTGTAATCTATTTCATTGTGACTTTATTTATTACAAACAATTAATACATCAAATATATATTTTTAGCCAATGATATAAAATAATATTTCATTACATTGACAATATGAGTTTTTTCAAGTCCATGAATGTACAAACATATTTTGTTTTCATTTTGTGTGTAAGTTTTAACGGGTGTTATAATACTACAACAAAAGTCTATTGATAACATGATGCTATTATGTCAAATTTTGATTACGTTTAAAACAAAATAAAAATTCATGTATAAAAAGAATTATATATATATAATATTATATTAATTGCTAAAAATTTACGTCTAGAATCATATAGATTTTTTTGGAAATTAAAGCTTAAATTTGAGTTTCTATAAGGACACACAGATTAATTATAATTTTCTTTTAACAACATTTATTGATTTTTTTTTTGAAATGATTATAGTTGAATTAATGTTGTTGTTGTATTGTTATATAGTCATTGTATGAAATTATTGATATGTATTATGAAGATCAAATAGACTCA